AAAATCCCAAATCTGCTATCTCCTACTGCACAATTTAGAATATTTTTTACTATATCATTAATGGTTTCTCCAACAATTTCGAGCTTGGCGCTCCTTGTGAAGGCGAACCAGTCTGCTCTTTTTATGTTAAATTCAGGTGCTGAAGGGGTTCTTGTTGTGTTGTATGAATAATTATTGCAGATAGGAAAGTGATTGCTTCCCAACGAGTGATCAATAAAGCTCAAATTACCGGTATTATCGTCCACTCGCGTCGGATTACCGTCGTTCAGAGGGACCAGATCAGATTATAAGTTTAGTTATTGTATTTACACATAGATGGCTCTACAAGTGCTTAATCACCAAGGAGTCAGTTATTAGTCCTACATGTCTCACCAGTTTTCCTCGACTTTTGGAAAGGGTCCTTTGTTTAATTTCATTGCCTTAAATGTTACCAAGATTTTGATAACAATTTAATAATCATAATATCAATAGCAATAACAACAGAATCGATATAAATTGTATTCAATATTTTTTTTTTTTCCTAATTCAAGGAATATGGAAATCAGGATCGGTCACTAGGGCCTACTGATAGACTCCTTGCCGGCCGAGCACATGTGGAGCCATCTGTATATAAAAAAAAAGAAAAAAAGAAAAAAGAATACAGGGTACAGACCCCAAAATCCGTGGTGTTTCGGTTAAAAAGAAAGAGGAGGGAAGTGGGGGGAGGGGGCAAATGTAGGGCATAGAATGGGAAGGAGTGAAATTATGGAACTAGTTATTATTATCATTATCCTAATCATTATTGATATTATCATTATTATTATTATTATTACTATTATTACTATTATCATTATTATTATTATAATTATTATTGTGATAATTTTTTTCATCCTCATCATCAGTATCAGTATCATTGTATTATTATCATTATTATCCTAATCATTATTATCATTGATACTGATAAACTTCCTATCATTATTGTTGTGATCAATATTGTTATTATTGCAATTATCCTTATTTTCTATATAGATATTATTAACTGTCATTCTTATTAATACCATTGTCATTATCATTATTACTATTATTGTTATTGCTGTTATTATTATCATTATCATCATTATCTTCATTGTATTTTCATTATCATTATTCTTGTTATCATGCTTATCATCCTGATTATCAGTATTATTATTATCATAACTACCATTGTTAAAATTGCCTTTTTATTCACTGTAATTGTTATCTTTATCATTATCATTATTTTTATGATGTTCTTTGGTTCACTGTTAATGTTATTGTTATTATTTTTTTCTTTTTTGTTATTGTTATTATCCTCATCGTTATGCTTATCATCATTATCAGTCACCTTCTTTATCATCATCATCATCATCATAATAAGTAGTAGTACTAGTAGTAGTACCATTGTTATCATCATTATCACTATTACTATTATTACTGTCATTGTCATTACCATCGATATCATTGACCAAATGTGTTACAAATCAGTGATAATGTATTTAAAATTTAAGAATCTAATTAGCATTATGTTTCCTTCATTTGTCTCTTACTAGGGATAGGAAAACAACATGAACTTCAATTTATAAGGCAAAACAAGAGATGTATTACAGAAAATTTTGGTAAGAAGCGTAGAATTATGCAAACACACATTGCAGAAATTTCCAATTTGATATATACCTGGACAGCGATAAAACGTTTCTTAAAAACTATTTTAATAAGGCTTCACACTGGTAAAAATCTCATAATAAAAAAAAATAATATTCATAATGGGAAATGGCCACGTAACTCATCAGTACGACTAAATAAATAGAGGTACTTAATTTTGTTATTGATATATTATTAAAATGAAATTTTTAATTCCAAAAAATAATTCTGTAACACACTGAAAAATCATTATACTAATATATCACCGTGCAGATGTATAGATATATTTTCAA